ACTTCAGACAAGCCGCTGGCATCTGAAAACAAAAATAACTCATTTTTTTCTTTTGCATTCGACGCTAAATGAATGGACAGTGAACAGAAATTAAAATATTTAAAAATTCACTTCATTCGCCTTTTGCAATCATTCTATTGTCATATGAAGATATGATCCATGGTTAATAAATTAACTCTACTGAATGTCAGACAAAGAGAAAAAATCGCAAACCACCGCTGAAAAAAATTCACCATAAGCTACAGAGGTAAAATAAAACAAGATTATGGCTCGAAACTGAAATTCGCAGTATTAGGCAATGAAAGATTTTACTCCCTTTAGTAAATGACGAAGCGCAACATCATCACGGCGTTCCTCATAATTTCAGGCTAATGCTCACATTGCTCAGGCAGGTCATGACTAAAGTACGAAAGTACCTGCAGGAACAAAATACGTCGCAATGTGTTGTCAGAAACAGCTACAGTAGTAGCGAAGGTATGTAATGAATTTTAAGACGACTAACTCAGCTTGTGAAGAAGTTTGAAATTTGAGCATTTCGAGGTAAAGATCACTATCTATCATTTGAAGTCATAAGGCAAAAATAGTTGATGTTCTTGTCATAATGGTTGTTCTCTGCCAAAACGAATGCAGCCATTTGCATATGAGAAGCTAATCCTCCAGGGACTTTGATTTTCAAGTCATTGCAGTGTGGTACGCTTAGCTGTCATAAAGAAAGAAAAACATTTCTGATAGCATTTCTACGAATGTCGTGCATTTCAAGGCTTTAAACGGTAGGTGTATTCCCGGGGAAAAAGGAGTCGTACAGCATTGTAATATGCAGTAATATGCATAACGAATTTATTTCTGAAAATCAGCTGCCTTGAAATCAGTAAACAACAAAGTAAAATGGTAGTAAACCAAAATAAAAGATATTTTTAATCATAAAGCTTTGTCAACCTTAGCACAATGTTCTATTTCCAACGGAAACTCTTGATGCAACATCGCAAGAGTTTTGTTGATGTTAAGGTTATTACCATAAATGACTAAACCGGCTCCACTGATACCTGGATCAGTGCTTTCCTCCATCAATCAGCGCAGTGCCTTCCATCAAGTCCAGCCAGATTTTCTTCCACTGACTTTGACGAAGTCAACGTCAGCACTTACAATATCCCACCAGGTCTTAAGTTGTTCGCGTCTTTTACAGTGCCATCAAGGGATCAGGTAGCGCTCAGTGTAATGAAGGTAATTTCGTTGAGTGAACGCCTCATTGCATCTCCCGGTCAACGCAGTGGCCGTTCTTTCAGGACAGAAGAGAGCTGGATGCTACTGAGATGGGCACGGGTTTTGAGGTAAATCAATAACTTGTAAATGTTAGTGGTAGAAGGATTCTAGCTTCCTCACGCATTCGAATCTTGGAGCCCAGCTCTTTCACATCCATAAAGGAGGAGGAAGCGGACGACGGCCTGTAGAACTCGGCACTCATCTTCTAACTGATCTCCCGTCGTTTCCACAGCGGCTTACAGTGTTATAGTAAAATAAAACCTATATTGCTGATATCCGAGCTGAAATTCATCATTAGTCTGTCAGTGAGAAGATGACGAGCTAAAGCATGTGGAAACAGCCAGAGTTTTGTGGTTAATAAATTTTTTATCTGTGGACTTACTACCGTTTTGCCTCGGTTTTAATTTAATTTAATTAAATAATTTAATTAGTCCTACCGTAGAGGAATGACTGTAATATTTCATAGTAGCACAT